ACAAATTTATAAAAAAAAAGACAATATATAGATTATTAGTAAGAAAGATTTTGTTTAATACAATTTATAATAATTTATTTATATATGCTATTACAGAAGTATGTATTTTTTATACTTGAAAAAGAAATTTTACTAGAAATTTTTAATGTTTTTTATAGATTTTTGATATTAATAGCTTATAATATATTTTTTAGAAATAAGGTAAAATTGTTTCTTTCTAGTTAATATTATTTTCTATAGAGTATAATACAATTAGGTTTAAAAAAATAATTATTTTGTTAATTTGATAAAAAAACAAATATGCTAACAGGTTTATAGCCTTGTTAGAAATATGTATTCTTTTGAAACTCTTGCATAAAATCAATATATAAATAAGTTAAAAGCTTTTAACATGTCTTGAAAAACAATTTAAATTTCTTTTTTATTTGTAACTGCATCTTTTAAAATTTATATAAGTTATGAAATTGGTTGTAATATAGATTAATAAAAAAAGACTGTAAAGTTATAAGAAAATAGCACTTAATTGCAAGTTATAATATTTGTTAGTTAGGCTGTTATTTAAACTTCAACAGAATTCAGAATTTATATACAATTAATATATTAGCAATTATCTCTTCCTAATTTCTAAAAAGAGTTAATTTAAACTTATTAAACTTTAATATCAACTATATTAACCTTATTCATTTAACAGCTATTAAACATCTACTATCAATTCCTCTAGTACAAACAATTCTAATTCCCAACTTTTATGTCTTTGAAATATTCAAAACTAGTAAAGTAGCAAACATACTTGAACAATATTCAATTTTTAATAACTCTTAACAACAACTTAACTTTTATACTAATGGTTTAGTAATTAATATTGGAACTGACCAATGTACAATAGGCATTAGCTGGGTTTAAGTCAATAACAATAACTAAATTATTTACAAATTTTCTGTTAAAATTAACTTCTGGCTATCATTCTACAAAGCAGAACTGATTGCTATTCTCTTAGCTATTTCTACTATATCTCAAAATGCAATAGTTAATATTTTTACAAATTTCCAATTTATTATCACTAAATATACTAACATCTATATCATCCTTTTCAATTCTAACAAACTTTTTAAATTCAATATATGTCTATATGGCATACTTTATTGAATATCATTAAATCTTACAATCTTCAAATTAACTTCCATAAAGTTCAAGCTTATACTAACAACAATCTGAACAATCTTGCTGACTCTCTTGCTAAGCAACATAGTCTTTCTTCTAATTTATACTTCAACTATACTAATATTTACAACCCATACCATATGCTATTCTGGGACCAACATTTTATAGAATACCCTACAAGAACATTTATCAAAAATATCTGCAAAGCCTACATTCTAGCAATGTAGTTATCTCAAAAATGAATCCAAAAATGAAACCAACTTATTTCTGAAATAGATTAGAGATTCACTTGACTATACTTCAACTATAACCAAAAACCAACACATAATATAACCAACTTCAAACTTAATTATTTCAAATTCTTTAAAATCAAAATTCTACTAAATGAATTACATATATACTTTTTATATTATAAAATATATTCACATACCTTCTATAATATAAACTAGAGTGGCTAGTTGTACACTCTCTTCATAGTTGCCTTCTGTGGTTGTAAAGCAATCATTAGCCAAATATACTATTAATAAAATTCTAGGTCACAAGTACTCACCTTAATATTTAAAAAAAAAATAATATAAACTACTTCTATTGCAACTTATCTGACTTTTCAACACATTGGTAGACATGTTCTAATTCAACACTACTCACTAGTATTATTTAAGATACTATCTTCAAACATATTAGCCAAAGCAATCTAAATCCCTCTAAACTTTAGCAAAAAGAACTTATCCAAAAAATTCAAAATCATAAAACTTTTTATCAGATACTATTTAATGATAACTTATTTTACTTTGATATTATTCTTAAAGAACTTATACTCAAATCTTTAATTTAAATAATTCAAAACCTTAACATCTCTTACAAATTAGTATTACAAATAGTTATTAAAATACTACTTAAAATCAATAAGCTATGCTATGAACTACTCTAGAAACCATATTGCATAAATTTTGCAAATTGGAAAAAACAACAAGTTCTTAAATCTTTTTTTTTTAAATACTTAACTTAAACTAATTATAATAGACAAACTAAATACAACTACTAAATATATATATATTTATATATATGTAGACTACCTAACCAAGTACACTCAAACTTCAACATATACTTACTTCTTAATTATGCTATTAGAAAAATCAATATGTGAACTATTCTCTGCATCAAATATAATATTTCATTTAACTATATTTTAATTATTCAAATCTAGATAAGTTTTTGCTTATTGTAGTAGGTTTAGGGAACTGGCATTTAAGAGCTCAATATAACCTCCTCTGGGAATTATTAATTGACTACTTCTAATATCTCTAGAGTCAGTTATTTGATATTATTCTGTATTCCCCAGAGTCAGTTATTTAATATATATAAAACTATCAATTAACTATTATAGTATCATAGAGTTAGTCATTTTGATAACATCTTAATTACACCTATTTAATATTTATAACCACCCCAAGTAGCATAGCACATAATAATTTTAATGGCTACATGATTTCAAAGTCACATAACTGCCTCAAGTAGCATAGCATATAATGATTGTAATAGATATGTAGTTTCAAAGTCACATAACTGTCTCAAGTAACACAGCATATAACAGCTACTGTAGTAAATACACAAATCAGATAATTTATATTAATAAATATGCACAATATTTTTAAAATAATAAAATCTTTGTGCTAGAGTTAAGATAGAACTATAATAGAATGTTTTCTATAATAAAATTTTGCAAAGAATGGTTTTTGTTAATGTGCAGTAGGTAGTTTTATAGACAAAATTTTGAGTTATCTGCATTTTTTTAAAAATATCATAATTTCACATTATATCTGTTCTGGAAATCGATTATTAGAATAGATAGAAGAGATCTGATTGGTGCATCTTTCACATGCAGTAAAAATTTTCATGACCAAATGATTATTTCTTTCTTTAGCTGATCAGTTTCCAGATCTTACAAATGAATAGAAATTTCATATAGAGTTAAGTTCTTAGTTACAACCTTACAATCTTTTAAACTTATAAACAGAAACTCATTTGATCAAAGTTGCAAGTTGCTCTACAACAGAAAAGTTTATTACTAATGCTTGCAAATTTTTATTTGTAGATTGTGCTCTTATAGTGATGCAGAATCTGTGTAAATTTGACTAGTAATAAATCTGCTAATTACAATAAAAGACAATAACCACAAATTTATAAGTTATTTTTTTTTTCCTAATTACTTTTTTTTTTTTATTTGAAATTTTATTTATTACATATTATTATATATTTCTATTTTCTGTCAACCTTTTTGATCTAAGATCCTGTTTTATTTGGTTTTCCATGTTTCTTTACATAAATTTCTCCTTCATTAATGTTGTTTTGAGCAATTTTTGTTGATTCTAATACCAGACTTTTAGGTCATTCTCATTTCTTAGGATGTTGGCTTTTTTGATGAGTGGCGATCATTGATATTATTGGAAAATATTTATTACATTCGGAACAACAAAGTTGAGTGTAATTGGCTTTGCCAATTGAGAGACAATGAGCATTATATCTTGGTATCTTATTTTTATTAAAAAATTCTAACAAATATATAGGATTGATGTAGCACCCATCTTTACTCATTATTACTGGAGTGTGAAATCCATCATTCTTTATAAGAAGACTAGCAGCCTCTTCACATCACTTTGGTAAGCAATACAAAGTATTTTCACATTTTTTTATATCTAAGGAATAGTCACATATCCTTGTATGAGTTTCTAACCACTTCCAAAACATGTTATTTTTATCTTCAGACCTTGGAAATTTAATGAAAAATAGGAAGTTATTTCTTTTAACATACTCTACTATAATCAGCTTTCCAAATAATGAATCTTATTTCCAGAGGTTACATAATAATTCTCCATCATGTTTAAAATTTTTTTTAGCTAATTCCACATCAATAACTTGGCTCTAAGAGTTTAAATAAGAATCATAGATATTAACTGATAGGACGATGCCTGCAAGTTTTTAAGAAAGGAATGCCATATCCTGTTCTATAGGATTGTATTTGGATTAACCTAGAACAATAATATCCAGTTAACTAGTTGTTAATATTTGAATGATACTAGAAAAAAACCAGACTTTGTATTTTTAATTATATTTTGTATCAGACACAATAGACTGGTTGTATCTGGTATAAAATATGATTGAAAGCCTGAAGTCTGAGTTTTTTTTGATATTACTTATTTGATAATTAATTTTTTTTAGTAACTAAGATCAGACTAACTTAATTTTCTGTTTAACATAACATAAAATGACTTGTAAGAAGAAGAATAAGGTATTAAAAACAATATTTAATGTCACAATTTTATTAATTAATTTAATGCATATAGATCTTGAAAAATAGAGGTTTATATTGAACAGACAATCAAATTAGTCTGGTTTAAGAAGCTTTTACTATTATTATTTTAGTAAAATACTTTTTAGAATATAATTTGGACAAATTAATGAATCTACCAACTAACCTGGAGCATGCATCTGAATGGTTAGATAGTCCAGGTCAAATGCTCAAAACATTATTGTATATTTAACAATATTCTTCATATAATAAGGATTATTATCTGGGCCTTCATCAACAAAAAGGACCCAGATAGGTTTAATCTTATTTTTTATTTTTAACATACTATCCAGACAGCTGTTTTTTACTAATGAATCTAAATTTTGCATATGAGTTGCAGAACTTGTGCCAACTCTATATTGAGAACGAATGAAAATTGAAAGTTGGCTATTGCAGAGTGTAACATTTATGTTATTAGAACTTATTATTAAATAAACTTATGATATTAGCTTTTGCTGTGCACCCACAGGAAAATCATGATTAGAGACTGTCACTGACTTCCTAATTGTTTATAAAACTCTAAAGGTTCTTCTGATTGCTGTAATGCCAAGAGGAACCTTGGTCTTATCATCTTGTGAAATTATGACTGAAAACTTTGAAAATAAAGATGCATATTGTCTTGCCACCTTTATGAAGGCAAGACAATAATGCTCATCTGGATGATCATTGTTGTCAGTTCTAGACACTGATGAGACCACAATGTTGGCAGGATAATAATAGGTCTTGCCACTATTGAGTTTGAATGAAAAGATTGTAGATAATTGTTTATAGTAGATCTGGCAACATATTCACCATATATATTTCTAATATCATCCACAAGGTGGTTAATGGACCTGACTTTTATTACCTTTCTTCTTCTTTTATTTTCTACAGCCCTGAATTCAATGCTATTATAAATATGATCAAGCAAGTTCAGATATGTTTGCAAAAAAGAAGAATGGCTAGGCTTATCATATTTAACAACAAGTTGTTGTTCTTGTAGAAGTTTATTTTTAATATAAAGCATTAAATAGTAAGCATTTAAATTCAAATTAAGTAGAGAAAAACAAAGTAAAAATAAAATTCTAATCATACTTAGAATACTTCACTCTAATCTTTAAATTTCTCTCTAGTACTATTAGAAATAAAATTTGAAGGTTAGATAAAATACTCTAGATATGATTAGAGAATAAATAAAAAAATTGAATTAAAAAATTAAAAAAATAATAACTTTTTTTTTACACTGTTATGTTTATATTCTGCCTGTTTTTGTAGAGATTTTAACCTCTTTTCCTCAGTATAAAGAATTTGTTTTAGTTGTTGCATCTGATTCATTAAGTTATTTCAGATTTCTAGATTATTTGTTGCATTATAGACCTTTTGACATTCAGTGAGCTTCTTATTTGTATCATTAATAATTTCTATGGCTCGCTTCTGCACTGATGCATTTATTGAAGATGAATTCAGAAGAAAAATTTCCTCAATTATCTGTATTTGAGTGATAAGGGCAGTACTAAGGTTTTGGATAGTTGAAGATATATTGAAGTCTTGAACAATAGGTATTGTACAAGTAAGTAGATTTTCAATAACATTTTCTATTTGATATGCTGGTTTGCTTTTTATTTCTTTCTATGAGCTATTACATTCTTTGCACAAAAATTCCTTTTTTAAATTTGAATTTTTAGAGATAACTATGCAGTTATATACGAATGTGTTATATAAATTTTGATACTAGTTTGTTGGTGATTTATATATATATAATTTATTATAGTTTGAGGCACTTGAGTTAGTTTGCATGTTGAAAAAACTGAATTGAAAATAGATAATTAAATAAATGAAAACTTAATATAAAAAGTAATACTAAAGATAAATTAATATAAAAAAAAAAAAAAAAACTATTAAAAGAATGAATATAAAGAAAAAAAATTGAAAAAATTTTAGAATAGATTAATATTTGAAATCAATCAAAGTAATCGAATTATTAAAGTCTCAAGATATCAGTCATATTTATAGCAGATGAAGTAATATACTTAACAATTAATTATGTACTTTTGTTTGAAGTTCATTAGGATTTCACACAAATGTAGAATAATTTTATTAATTCAAATTCGAGAGGTAGTTATAACAATATACAGCTTATCTTGTGTTTATTTTGTGCAATGTATTTTATTATTCTTTAATATGATTTTAATTCTTAAAATTTTAATAGTTATAGATAAAAAATACATTTAATAGTCTGGAGAAATAAAACTTTATATTTTAAATATTTTAATTTTTTGATGCATCCAAAGGAATATTTATATTAAAAATATATATTTTTTATTTAATAGTTTAACAAAGAAAAAGTACCAGTTTATATTCAATACACTTAATTTTCTTAATAACTCAATACATAGATGTTCAATTTTATATTAGAGAAAATTTATTTTAAGTATCATTTTTATTAAACTTCATTGTTTTTATACAATTTAATTCTAAATGTTTTTTTAAATTTCTTAAATAGTTTAATAAATGAGGAGTACTACCAACTTTATATTTAATGTGTCTGTAACAATTAAATAAGATTATTTTTTATATTTTTCTTTAAATATCATAAAAGTAATTTAATGGACAGGATATAGAAGTAACAATGTAAACATGCATCTTCCTGTATTTGTTCTGTTCTAGCTTCTATGATAGAAGTAACAATGTCAACACATATCATTATTACAGACAACACATTGAAAAAGGTAAAACTAATTCTGGCTTTAAGCTAGTTGAAGCATTATTATACAAATACAAACTAAAAATTACTATATATTGTCTCATTAATATCTAAACTTTTAGGACTAGAAATTAGATTATTCGAAGTTAATTCTTCAGTTAAACATTACCTCAACTGAAGTTTTTCTCCAAAAAATGAACAACCAATTAAAATGCTGGATAACTTTCACCAATCACTTGATTTATATTAACTAATGAAATTGGTCTATTTTTATATGTTCATTTCATTTTACCCCTTCTCTTCCTCTTCCAAGAGTTTTGAAAGTGTTGTTAACTAAAGAATTAATTTCGAACAGTCTTAGCTACTGAACTACTACTTGGATTTGCCAAATTCTTTTGACTTTTTTTTTTTTACAACTAGACATTGGTTTATCATTTTAACAACAGATTATATAAACTTCAGACCATATACTACAAGATAGATAAACATCTGAAATTTTATATTATATATTTGTAAGTAATATAAATTTACAATGCTTAAGAAATATTACTTGGCTTTATAGTTTTATATAACACAATACAGTCAACCTCTCTATAATTACATTTTTGGTTTTAAGAATTTGGTGCTTATAGAAAGTTTGTGTCTATATAGAGGTTAAATTTTATAGATATTATATAAAGTTGGTTTTAAGAATTTATGTAATTATAAGCAAATATAACTATAAAGATGACTATAGAAAGGTTTGACTGTATAATAAGTTTATTATTATATTAATTTAGTAATGATAAATTTTTACTAATTGATATATTATCTATACTTTTATAAGTGCAGAAGTAATTATTCAAAATGAGTATTTAGTTATATCCTGTGTCTCTTATCAATTAAAGATTAGGACTGACTAAAATTTTATAATTGCTTAGTCTTTTAACCTTAATTAGTTAGCATTAAAATAATTTTGACCTATGAACAACATGGCTTTGCCTGGAACTATGAACCAATTTTAAGTGGTTAAACAGTTTTAACTTTTATTATTAATTTTATTTTGATTGATTTATGGAGGTAAGTATAAAGATCTTTAATTAACATATTAACTATTATATTATATAATTTGAATTTGTCTAAGTTTGTATTAATAAGTCTTATTAATTAAAAAAATAAGTTAAATTCATGCGAATCCAATTTTTTACTTTATATTATTTTTTTTTATTATCATCTTCATGACCCTGAATACTGCTATAAAAAAGATAACTGTAATTCTGATAGTCCTAATAGTAGATATTTATAGAAATTGTGAAACCACATATAAAATCAAAACTTGCTATACAGTGAGAACTAAAAAAAACACCTTTTTATAATACTTCTTATGATTTTTGAAAGCCTAGAATTTAAAGTACTCTGGGTACTAAGGATAGATTAATTGCACTTAGAAATAAAATATTATTGCAGAACTCATATAGTGCAACTTATACCCCTCTCTATGCTGACTATAGTATTCTTCTGATTATAATACTCATATATATAGCTTAAATAGTAAAGTACCTTAGGTATTTTAGTCCATGCTATATGCTACTAGCAAATATTGCAATTCAGGTAAATTAGCACCTTTTCTAGCATTAACCTAAAAGATCTGTCAACAAAATATAAAGTACTAATTTCAACTTAATGTTTTTATTATAAAACAAAGATGAGCAGTTTTAGGTATATAGGATCTAAAATTAGTTTTATATCAAAATTTGATATATATTATATAGGCTTAATTCACAATATTAATTCTGCAGATTTAACTATAGCTTTTGAGCAAGGTTAGTTCTTTTTAACTACGATGTTAAACATGATCAAGGATTAGGCAATGACAGTCACTTTGGAAAAAAGCCTTTTCACTAAATCTATAACTATAATATATAGTTTAAAATATTTTTCACAATAATCCCTAGTTTTTTATTTTGCACAATATTCTTATAGCAATTACTTATATACTAGATTAAAGAGCTATTTATATAATTAATTCATATTTTTTTAATCTATATTTAATAATAATTAGGAGTAACAATCATTTTGTACTAAACCATAACCAAGTTTCTAAAATGAAAGGCCATCTTGTACAACAAAATCACAAAAGCTGTAGTGGTAGAAAAAACTATTATCAAAGCTATGTTCATGATAGAATTCCTATTCTACAGTCAGATTTTGATATTAAATTGTTGTCAAATGTTAAGTTCAACAAAGATGACCTTATCAGGGAGGTTGTTAAGAAAATTACTTCTAACTCCTACTATTACAGTTATACCAAACGCACCAAAGAAAAAGCCATTAGTCAAATTACAAAGAAATCATATTTCATTAACTTTATCTTAATCACTGAAGATAACACCTGTTCAAGTTATAGTATTGATACTATTATCATTAGAAGAGCAGCAACCAACTATGGTCTTAAAGAAAATTGTACAAAAGGCATTGAACTTGGTTCAGAATTAGAAGATGTTTTAATACCCCTTACTAAGATTTATTATAAGTTCAGATATTTTTTTGATAACATTCCTTGTGAAACAAAGGAATGATTGAAACAAGAGCTTGATGGCCAGTTAGTTTTTTTTTAAAAAAAAATTAAATCATGCCTATGTATTAATAATTATGAATGTTTATTAATATTAATAGAAAACTGTTTAGGGCTGAACGAAGACAAAAGCAATCTAAAGAAAAACATTTAAATATCGAAACTTTTGGATGAGCCCTGATTGATAACAAAAGAAATTGTAGTTACTATCACAATTGTAATTATAATAGATACTCTAACAACTATCAGAAAAATAACTTTTGAGTATGTTTTATATTTGTTTATATGAAGATTCCAACATTGTCATTATCACTAACTCTATGTTTTCTTAGAAATAGGTTTAGCAACAATCATAAAGCATATTTATTTTTGGCAATTTAAATATTTATTCGATGGTTTATATTTACAGTCACAGATTTCTTATGTTCTTTTTTTTTAAAAAAAGAAAATTGATAAACCCAGAGCATTGTAATAGGTCACTCTATTATTTTTTATAAAATTATTCTACTTGACAATAAACTGTAATGCTTCTTGTTAGTTGATTTGATTATTTAAAACACAAAGTTGGATATAGTAATTAACAAAATCAAATCAAAGTTTTAGTTTCAAATCAAATATTTGATCAAATCAAATTTGATTTAATTAAGTATTCTTACTTGATGAACAATTTATCAAGCAAGAATATTTAATCAAATTTGACTTGATCAAATATTGTTTTGAAGTTCAAATTTTAATCTGATTTTGTGGTACATTAATTGAATTATTGTAA